TATATATATATATTATATTCATGTGAAGGTATGTTTACTGCCAGTTTTCATGCTTGAAGACTGGCAGTAAACAAATCTAAAGCAAATGATCTCCAAACGTTCAAGCCACTGTAGGTCTCTACAAAGTGTGTAGATCATGCAGAGGAGTGACTTTCAGACACGAACTGAAAGAAAAAACTATCCCGAAATAGATGTTTTCATAAATACATTGAATTATACTAAAGAAAAATACTTTCAAAACAACTACTTTTATATGAACACTGTATTGTACAAAAACACAAAAACACTTTTGGTATATTTAATTTGTATTCCAACCATAAAGAAGTAGAAAGCCAACACCTTTATTTCCCAGAAGTTAATCATTATCCTTAGAAAATTGATGGAATGCATACGATTTTTCCCTCAAGTTTGCGCTGGTCAGTCCCTATTCCCCGATGCCTCGATACATTCAAGGAGGCGTGTCAGCATTATCAACCAATGATCACTTCCCTTACCGTGGGGTAAGGGATCAATGGGTCCAGGAAGAATCATCTGCCGTGAGAAGGCGCAGTGAGCTAGTGGTCCGGCTGAGATTTCTGCCCTAGTATGGCGGTATGATTTTGAGATTCGAGAGTAGAGACGGCATCATTTTACCAAGGACTCCTTTAATCAGAACAACCATCTTTACAGACTGGTCTGGAAACTGCGGAGTTCGAAGAAAAAAAATTTGATATTTTTTCCGTTTTTTCTCCTCTTTTTGGACGATATTAATCTCACCAGAAGCTGAAAACTCCAAGATGAATATTATCTTGTTCTGGTGGACGAGAAGGACTGCATCAGGATTATTAGCTTCTATGAGCCTGAGGATGGGAAACGAATAGTTGCAATAAATTTGTCACTTTTCATTATCCACAACGAATTCAATATTCCCCGGAACGTAGGGTAATACCGGTGTATCGTCAATATCGTAAAAGTGCTGTAGGTGTTGATACAGCACTCTTAGGGCCGCGTTATGTCGATGGATATAAGCTGAGACCGTTGTTACGTTATAAATTCTTATAATTATAATCTTGGTCTAAACGATGATATTTCACCTTTATCTTCGATGAGTAACAAATGTATTTATATGGTCACTTCTAACAAAAAAATATATGTTACTGTGGTGATTGGTTAAGAATGACCACTCGGCTAGCCTAGCGGTTTTGTAGGGGGTGGGTAAGGTAAATGAATCCACCACTAGGGTGCTGTTTTGAAATTAACCTGATTTATTGACTTATAAATCAATACACAACAATAAGTATGGAAAGGCCTTCTGAATCTAATTAAAAACAAATAAAGGCTTGTGTGATCACACCTCATCTACAATGGCAGCTACCCCAGTTGTATATGAAATATTGTTATAAATATGAAACATATGAACAATATGAAACCGACAATTACTAATTCGGTGAGATGGCTGTCTGCAAAGCGGATGTCACTATTATGTGCACTATAGTCTATGCATAGCATGCATGAAGCGTTCGGTGTGATCAAGCTAACTGGAAATTCTTCGATGATGACTGTTACTGGTTGTTATTCAGCTGTTGAGTGTCGCGTAAGCAACAAGGAAGGTTGCAGCATGCAGGAGTTGGAAAATATGATAATTCACCCCAGGCGTTACCTAGCACTTATCTTGTTATAACTTATTCCTGCAATATGGAGGGCTGCTAAACTACTTTATGCCATGCAGTGTAGAAAGCAGGGGTGACTTCGGAATGAGGTTGGCCTGGAACCTTGGATCCGGCAATCTGTCGATGATGTCGCAAGAAAACACTAAATCTTGCGCCTTGAATTGTCTGCTCTGTTTGAAACTCGAAATGCTTTTCGTGATTGGTAAAAACCACAAATTCCACAATAAAATACAGAGAAGACGTGTTGCTCCCATGCACAACCATTACTGACTGCCCCTCCTCTCCTTTTTCTCCTTCCTGTCCCCTTTTTATGCTTCTCACAATACACTGGAGTTACCTACATCTATTCCTCTGTTCTATATGTTCCAAAATTCGTGGAAAATTCAATAACAACAGTTGCGACCGTTAACGGTTGCGTAACGTCACTTGTGATACGTTTAAATAACTAAATTCAAATATTGCCGCCCGGAACTTGAATTGACCAGCTCAGTCATCTACAATCAGTGACATCCAATACCTACTGAGCAGTTGACAAGAATTTGACAAACGACACGTATAAAGTTTACAATTTACTAATTAATTCTATATCTGATTCTGTACAATAAATATTCGTTAGGTAAGTAACAAGTTATACTACTACATAATATTAAATCACTATATTTCTCTGACTTATTTTTTTGAATGTTATTTCCAGGTACTATTGGACCAGTGACTGATCGACCACAAAGAATGTAAACAAATTACAGAAATCGGATCAGTTTTCAAAAATTATTGCTACGAGCATTCAAATGGATGCATATTTACTGGAATTACCGATATAATATAGGCATCGTACCATCGGCAGACGAAACGTGCCCAGATAGTGTTCGAGTGATAATTTCTGATACTGAATAAAATTGTTTTTAATAAGAGACGATTTGATGATTCAAATACTGTGCATTCTGATACGGTTCTTTGTGCATCTAGATATACTCTTTCTCTTGTGTTTTGAATGATAATCTCTTCTTTTTATATAAACTATGCTATTTTAGTTTTCATTTATTTCTGCTATGTTTGATATGCAACCCATTATACATCTCCTGGATGAACTGGTTGTCTATTTAAAAGGTGAAGAGTACCCATGAATTATTCCTTCAAATGTTTGTTACGTGGCAGGCCCCACACCTTGTATCAGGAACCTCTATACGCATCACGTGACTGCAGTAGACGAAGGTGTTGGAGACACCATCCTGGCATGCCATGATGAACCCCACAGTTTCCAAATTCAGCCCACTCGACCTGAGGAAAGGAAAGGTCAGGCGCTTTGATAAGGCCGAGTATTCGAAGTTGTTGAAGATGACCGCATGCATAGGCTTACTCTTGTTATATTTATTATTATCATTATTATTATCATTTTCATTATACAGGGTGGGACACCGAAGACGAAACAGATCGAATATCTTCAAAACACATGCAAAAACACGTCGATTTTCAATGCAAGGGGGTCATCTTCCTACAATAACCTCAACTGTCATACCTCTTCCCCCATCCGTCGGTGATTATCACCCAAACAATTTGAATAGGGACACATCGTTAAAAAGGCAATTTCATAAGGAATTCTGCCATGTCAATTTTAGCTACCTAACTTTTGATTTTGGCGCCTTCTTGCGAAAAAAAAAACTGTTCCGTATTCCAAATTGTGATACTTCATTCGCAAGCTAATTTGACAAAAATCCGTTGACAATGAATCATGGAGTTTTTCTAGGGGAAAACACAAGGTGGCGGCTCCACAATGGCGGACAAGATTTGCAATTATGGTCCGATTTGATTAAAAATTGATGAGTGGTGGTTTTCAGGGTCGGAAATTATGAATTGTTTTTCGGGTCTCATTTCCATATCAGAATTTGTGCCCCTAGAAATAAAAATTGACGTGTTCTTTGAAATTTTCGATTACATGTCCGTTTCTGACTTACAGAGGGTCAAGTTTGGGTTGGAACGCCCTGCATATGTTATTACTCATTGCGATGGCCGTTAAATGTTAAATGTCGTTAAAATAACGATATTTTTCTTGAATGGCATTTCCAAAATATATCATTGTAATGCCTTCTGTTGATATGACTAGACAGTATTCAGTCAGTTGGGTTTTCAAATGACCTCTTGAAGTTTGTGATTCTAGATTTTGAATTTCAAAGGAAATGAACAATTTTGTAGTTTTATTTATCGCGTTGATCAGGCAACCGATATTTACTCTTGAGAGGAATTTTCGTGGTTACCCTCATCGTAGACGTAGACCGGATGATGTTCTGTTGCCCTTTATTTGGTTCGTCATCTGTATTGACATCTTAGTCGTCTGTCGAGTTTATCAGCAGACTCTCTACCCTGGGAACAAGGCTATGGTTAGCAGAATAGCCAACCAGGTTAAACAGGCCATCACTGACTATAGAAACGAGAGGTGGAGATAGTGTTTGGAATCACTTGAACCTGGGGATGACGAGCTCTGGCGAGTCATCCGCAGGCTCGAGAAGAGGAAAACCGCTTCCTCCCCTCTTCACGGACAGCGCGGTATCTGCCACTCCCCCGCCGAAAAGGCGTTGGCCTTTGCAGACACAATGGAGAGTCAGTTTCGAATTAACGTTGATCCGGATGATGATATTGACCGTGATTTCCGGCTGGAATACCGGGTTCGGCGCATCCTTAGGGAAAATGATGACGACGTGATCCGTCCAGCTTCGGAGGAAAAACTGGAGGGGTACATTAGGGCCTCCAAACCCAAGAAGGCTCCCGGAATTGATTCAATTAACAACAGGTTGGTAAAGCAGCTCCCGGAGAACTTCATCAGATACCTGCTGGACATTATCAACAGCTCGATCACTCTCAGATACTTCCCTCGAAGATGGAAGCATGCCGTAGTTATCATGATTCCGAAACAGGGCCAGAACCCGCTGTTTCCCCAGAATCATTAATTAATCTGCTTTGTTCAATGGCTAAGTTGGCTAAACGTCTTGTGCTGCAAAGGCTAACAGAAGAATTTAAAGACTAGAATGTTCTGCCTGACGAACAATTCGGCTTCATGAGGGCACACTCCACCGAGCTGTAGGCCCTGTGACTGAGACATATCAGAACTGAACAACAGGAAGACAGTCCATCTTGTCCTCCTGGATATTTCGAAAGCCTTCGACCGAGTCTGGCACGAAGGCCTGCTACACAAAATGCTCGATTTCGATCTGCTTTGGGGTCTGGTCTGGTGTATTAGGTCCTTTCTGAAAAGCAGAATATTTCAGGTCCGAGTTGAAGGAACCCTGTCTCTCGTCAGGGAAATCGAAGCTGGAGTGCCTCAGGCAGCTATGCTGTCTCCACTACTGTAGGGCCTTTACGTGAGCGACCTTTCGAAGTTCGATCAAGTGAAGGTTTCCCGTTTACACCGATGATACGGCTCTTCTCGCTTCTTTCATGGGTCGGGCGTTGGCGGTCGTCTACATGCAACGCGCATTGGATGACCTTGAACGCTGGTACCTTGACTGGAAGATTTGAGTGAATCCAGAAAAAACTCAGGCGATACACTTGGGAAGACGTAAAGTTTCTTCAGACACGAGGGTCACGATTTCAGGCAGAGGGAGAACGAATGGCAAACGCGAGTCAAGTACCTAGGTCTTTGGGTAGACCGCCGACTCACTTGGGCAAATCACATTGATTGTATCAAGAGCAAAGTGCAGGTGAGGATAGCTAAACTCTATCCTCTGGTCAATAGAAATTCAAAACTCAATTTAAAAAAAAAACAGTTTACTATACAACACGATGTTCAAGCCTGTCATCATGTATGCTTCAGGTGCTTGGGGAAAAACTGCCCCGTCAAACCTCTCCATTTTGGACAAATTGCAAAACAAACTTTTCAGGATGCTGGTGAATGCTCCATGGTTCGTGCGGAATGAAGCCATCCGCAGAGATTTGAAGCTGTTAACTATACGGCAGTCCATTCAGTCGAGGAATCAGAGAGTTTCCAAGTCAACGGAAACTCATGATAACCCATTAGTTAGGGAAGCTGTAGATTATACTATAGACGACCCCACTTGATTCAGAAGGCCCCGTCGCTCGGTTGACTGAAGGCCCCGCGACGTCTGTTAAAATGAACAGTTTGTTAATCAAATACCCCAGTCAGAAAGGGGTACACAAGGCCAGATCAGCATAGAGGTCATTGGCCTTCATGTCGCCACCAAAACACCTTACGTTATGAACCATTCGTCCTCCTGACGAATCTCAGTTGAAAGGGTAAGGGAAAAAATTTCCAACTTGAAAATGAAGATGACTATGATAGTCGCCTGTCATCATGAATGCTGACGTCAGTTTGTCAATGGTAATGGTTTTCTTTCGGCAACGGCTTCAAATATTGATCACACAATAAGCAGAATAAAGAATATACAGGAACATGATACAGGATGCACATGATCGCAATTATAAAAAATTGATGGTTTTATTATATGACAGAAAAACACGGTAATATTTTTCGTGTGTTTATTTTCTCTTGTTCATAATATTCATAGTTAGTTCGCCTAGGAATACATACTTTCCACAAATCGTTATGTACGAAGTATTGAACAATCGTTTTTTTCTATTTATTATGTACATATTCAAAAAATCCTATGCTAACGTATAATGTTGACATATCATATTTACAAGATAATATTAATCATAATATAACAGTATATATCATTCATGACAATAACATTTCTTTCTAAACAGGACTGATTTTCTCTTTATTTTGGCATTTTTTATTCAGGTACTGTTGGTATAAAATTAAAAAGTGATATCTATGGATCTCAATTATTTATTTGAAATTTCCAAAAACAAATAGTGGTAGTACTAAGTTCAATTCTATAGACTACTATCCCAGAACCATAAGATAAATAATTCAATTCTACAAAAAATTGGGTACCTAATATTTATTTTCCAAGATGGTTAAAGAAGTTTTCATCAATATACTTCCCAAGAACACTCTGAGTTCACTTCAAAGAAAGGTCATTATTTCAGTGAGGTAAAGAAAAAATCCAGGTCCGTCTACTGCGATTCGTGCAGTTTATCTGTAGCTGATTCTGCAGCTGATTCTAGATATAAACCAGTGATGCAGTGATTGAGTAATCGTGAAATACACCTTGTAAGGGTAGACATCGAGGAGGAAAGATGGCAAGCATATACGAAGAAATATATCTTGCCTCATCAGCTGAACCTGTGGCTGCAAAAAAACTGAAATGAACTCTTCCATTTCGTATGGTCGTTATACTAGACAGTATTTTGAAAACACACTAGACATTTTGGTCGACAAAGACGATGAAAAATTAAAACATTTTCGATCAAAACTGAATTGGTAAATAAACAAATTTTCTATGAATAGACTGTGATGATTTTTCAAGTTCTTTCTCAGATTTTGTTTTGTTTTATAACGACCTTTCATCAATGTTTGCCAGAATATGGCTACACAGACGTTCAATTGATCATTTATGTATATGACTATGGGTTACAATATCGTTGGGGAGTGAAATGAATTAATTAAAAACAAATCACACTCGAAGAAACCTTTTTTCTACAATTTTACTCTAATGCCCGGTAGAAATATTTTTGAGATATGCAATTTGAACGTGATTATAGAGTGTCACCGATAAAGTCCGCATCAAATGGGAAACTTTTTTATTTATCGTTTTATGTGAAATTTGATTTTGGCAGTAGATTTTGCTTAAGAAATGATGTCAAATGGCGTCTACAAAATAGGTCATGTGATTTCCTTAACCTGTCAAAATTGACATTTAAAAAAAGAAACATCGAAAAATGACATTATTCTTCAAAATATCCAAAAATATCAAAGGATAAAAACATTTTCTTTTGTAATTTTATACCCACACA